TTATGCCTGTTGGTGCCATATCTGCAGCTAAGAAGGTGGATACTGGACCTCTCTGCAGCATTCTTACTGGGGCCCTTTCTGAGTTGGCTAATGAGGGGGGATGGCAATAGCAATAGCAATGGGAAAAGCTTACATATGACAAGTCTGCGTTTCTTGGCCATGGGAGTAAGGGACAGTATCATTCCTTACTCTAGGCCACATTGCAAGCAGCACAGCTGGCTACTGCCTGACCACTGTGTTGGCCTGAAAGAGTGCAAGGATAAGGTGGCTATCAAGGAAAGGTTGAGTTTAACCTAGGGATGTGAGTAGTTAACTAGCAGCCCCCCACCAGATGCAGGAAGGGGGTTGCTCCAGCCCACCCCCTGTTCAAGCGGTTAACTGGTTAAACCTGTGGTGTCCAACCAGTTATGAACTAGCCACGCTCACCCAGCCAAATAGCCACTAGTGGCTAGCAAGTTGGACACCATGGGTTATACATAATGTTTAACTGGTTAAGTCAGGGTGGGACAAGAGGCTGTCAGCGGGTTGGATCTGCCCTCCTAGCCCTCATCTAGCCCACAGAAGCTCCCAGCCCCACCCCAGAACATGTTGCCTGGGAGGCACAAGCCCTTTCAACTCCTGCTATTTAAAGGCCCCACCCTTTTCGACCGAGGCCTGCAACCACTTGGGAAATTTTTGAAGTTGGCCCCCCCCTTCAAAAATCATTGCCCACCCCGGGTTAAGTGATTAAAGTTTACATCCCTAATTTAACCTTGTGCTGGGCCCAGCCTTGCCCATCACAAAGCTGCTGCATAGGAAGGGCCCTTAGCTGAAGGCTAGGAGCAACATGCACTGGCACAGTTGGATGAAGAAAGCAGCTGCAGTTCCTCCCTCTCATGCGCACAGCTTCTGCCGTAAGCGACAGGGAGTCTGCAGGCATCCAGTGGGAGTGCGCACGCATTCACATGGTCCTTACTTATGTGTCTTCTCACTGTCAGGTGCCACCATGTCAGCACTGGTCCTCACAGCCTGCATCATTTGGTGCGTCTGCTCCATCAAGTCCAACAGGCACAAGGATGGCTTCCATCGCCTACGGCAGCACCATGATGACTATGAGGATGAGATCCGGATGATGTCCACCGGTTCTAAGAAATCCCTGCTGAGCCACGAATTCCAGGATGAGACGGACACTGATGAAGAAACATTATACTCCAGCAAACACTGATACACGCCAGCTGGAATGGGAAGCTCCCTACGGACAGGCCCTACAATGGGGGGCTCCTCTTCTACTTGAGATCAGGATCATTAGCTTGCAGAATGTGTAAGCTCCAGAGACGTGGGTGGGAGTTCTCAACCTCCCGTGTTCTTATTTGCTCCTTTCCTACTAGTGCACAAGTCAGCAGACGTCGGAGGCTGTGGATGCTAGGTCGGGGTTGGAGTTCCATGCAATGGAAACACATGGAAGGCAATTTATTAGTGAGCTCTGGCAGTCGGGAGTTGCTAGCAGTTTCCGGGCAGTCCAGCCTGCTGCAGGCATAGTGGAGTAATAACCAAATGCCTGGTGGGGGCCGTAGTACTAAGCTTTAAAGCCATTATTTATCTCTCCTTTTTTTGATTTTTTTTTCTTCCCTCTGTACATTTTGGGGAAACCTCGATCAGTTTTGGCCAAGGCCTCAGCTGCACTGCTGGTGAATGGTATTAGAAATGGACAGTGAGCTTGGCTTTCGGTTGCTTCACCCCACTCCAAGGGTGCAAAGGTTCTGTGGTTTTCTCTGATCTATTTCAAGCGTCTAATGCTTTTCAGGTGTGTGCAGGGGAACGTGTTTCGCACATGGCCTCTCCATGAACTTACCTCTGTATTGAAACTGACAGGCGGGAGAATCTTACCCAGGCATGAGATGCTCCTCCACTAAAGGGAGGGAAAGCTACAGTTCTCTCAGTAGGAGTTGGGTGTCTGGTAACACTACAACTCTGCCATTCTCTAGTTAAAAGAAAATCCTCAGGTTCACTTGCACCACCTTAGACAGAACCCCTTTTGCTTCTGGCTGGCCATGTAGCCAGCCAAGTGACATGTCCTGTTGCCTGTCCTTGAGTGGAGACTAGCTAGTACCTGGGAATGGGGAGTAACAGTAGCATGACAACATGCTAAAAGAGCAAACAGCGGTAATCTCAACCCATGGATTTGTCTAGACTCTAAATACAGCTGGCTACTGACATGCCTGTTCAGGTCTGCCGGAGTCTGAAAAGTACTTAAACTTGCTGCTGCTTAGGAAACACAGCTCATGTTCTGCAGCCGCATGGGACAACTTGTGGATCTCCATGACGGCCTCTGTCTCAAATCCCTTCAAGACTTAAATTCCTTTCCCAGGCCCATCTGATACAGAAAAATGCCCATTCCTGACACGTGCTATTGTTAAAAGCTGACCCTTTTGCTCCCTTATTGAACCCTAACGTTGCTAGACATCCAGACAGCAGGACAGGCATTTTGCTGCTCCAGGACCACAAGCAGAGCTTTTGCTGTTTCCGAGGGGAGATGGCCGCTGTCAGTCACCAGAATACATCAGGAGGGAAGGGGTGTGTGGAGAGGGTTTGGAACAAGGGTAGCTCCTTTTTTGGGATAGCACCTGACATGTAAACAGGAGCTCAACTCTATGCATAAGGCTCTCTGTGAGAGAACACTTGTGAGAGAAAACTTGGATTCAGAACTTAGGCATTGTTGGCACTAAAAGACTCCTTTAACAAGGGAGGGCTTGTGCTAAGATGGTCTAAATCAGACCTCCCAATACCTGATTGATTCTTCCAATGCCTTTAGCTGTCTTTCTAGCTTGCCTCCACTTTGAGTGCGCTAGCGCTCAGCAGCATGAATCAAATGCCTGCATTGTTCCCTTCAGGAGTATAGGACTTGCAGGAATTAAAGATGATTTCATTGTAAAGGCCGGGCGCTTGCATAAAACGAGTGATTCACTGGTGCATCCACTCAGTGTTGTAGCCTGGAGCAAAGAAGGAAATCCTTTTGTAAGACGTGAGGACCAGCATTCTCCAGCCTTTGCTGTTTGCACCCAACAGAACCGCGCTGTGCTTGTGGAAATGCAGCTCTCAAGGGAACGGCAGCTGAGATCTGTTTGTAACCCACCTGTTTTTACTAAAAAACTAAATTCTGCCAAAGGTTAATGGGTGTTTGTGTGCAGTCTTTCCCATTAGTCTCTCCCTGGCTCTTCTGAGAACTTCAGATGCTAACAAGATGTCAGATGTCACCTGACTTGCATTTGTTGGATGGAACAGAGTTGATAGCTCAGTCCTCTGTCAAGCAATGCTCACGCTACTCTCCAGTTACCCAGAGAGACTGGAACTTTATGGTATTTATGCCTCCAACTTTTGTTAAAACCATTCCATAGGCTGCCAAGTTTGGGGAGAGTCTCCAGTATGACCTAGATATGGCTGCTGCCCTGGCTGTAAGCCTGCTGCCCCAGAGTATCAGCAATGGGTCTGACTTAGTAGATTAGTCATTGTCTCTGCTGGAAAGGTGTGGACACTGCCACCTAGTGGGGATGAGAACTGAACTTTCTTGGTAGAGAGTTGCGTCTCCCATGTCCTTCCCTTTCTTAAAAATAAGACTGGGGCAATTCTGCCAGATCTGAGGGTATTTATGCTCCTCTCCCGGGAGAGGAGTTCTGCCTGAACATTGCACATCGTGTACCAGATGGATCTACTCTCCCCCCCCATATTATCTGCTGGAGGCCTGTCTGAGTTATTGGCTCCATTGAGCTGCCAAACTGGAGAGAAGGTCATTGTGGAAATGTGTTAACATGGCAAATGCGTTTCTCAACCTTTTAACAGAACACTTGGCAAATACACTGTTAGGTATAAAATGGGATCAGACATGGAGCTCCTGCCCTCCTTATGCTACAGTGTTATGGAGCTGCTATTGCTATATCTTCTCTCACTCCTGCAGGAACCGCAGATGTAGTATGTGCCAGATTACAGCTGTGCTGAACAAATGACTTGGCTCCATTTCTTCTGCTCTCGGCCTATTATGCAGGCTGCAGTGGGCTATCCCTCAGTAACATTAAGCCTGCCTGACTTCCCGAGCTCTTGCTTTTGAGGCCCAAAGTAAATCCATTTGGGTTTTCATATTAAAGTTGGCTTTTCAGACTGATCTTCTACTTCTAGCTTTTCCTAGTTTGATGCCGGGTTCAGTGTGGGAGTTGGAGCATCCTTTTTCTGCCCCACAAGCAATAACTCTTGTCAGAGGTCTACAGGCCTTTCAGAGCATTGAATTTACCCCATTCCCTCAGAGAATGTATTTTGAACTATCTAGCATAGGTGAATACATGTGAGCTAAGTTGGTGTGAATTGTTTTGTAAATATGTGAGTGAGACTTTTCTAAGCCAGATGGGGTGAGTGTTTTTGCTTAGTTCTTTATGGGCAAATATGCAGCTCTTCTGTGGCATTGGCAGGCAGGTATTTTTTGTATTGATTTTGCTAACCAGACTGCCTTCCACACCCCTTCTTCCAACACCCTAGGCCATCTGTGACCCATCTTTAACAGCCACTGTCAGCACTCCTCTTTGTGGAGGTGCCAGCATCACCCATATGCACTCATCTCTGGAGTGCATAGGTCTATGCACTGTGCCTTCAAAAGTGAACTTTTAAAAAGGGACTTAAAATGGTTGACTTTTAGTTGAAAAAAAGAAACCAATCTGTGTGCCATGTGAGACCGCACTTTCTCTACCAGGAGTGTGCTCTGTTTTTTACCTGTACACTGAAATCTAATACTCTATTAAAATTATTTTGATGTCTTGTGTGTGCTTGTCTCAATAGCTTAAATCTTGAATACATTGTTGTCTTAAGCTACGTCTACATGTATGTGGAAGTTTGAGTGAAGATACACAACTCCAGCTATGGTGCTTGTGTAGCTCAAGTAGATATACCTTCACTTGAACTTTGGTGCTGTCCACACAGTGGGAGGTGGATGGGAGCACACCTGATTCAAGGAGTGCTACTGCTGACAGGCATCCTTCATGTTCAATTTTTGTGTCTACTGGACCAGCTCAATTCCCAACTCCAGAAGATGGGAAGTGAAGACCTGCACTAGTTTTGTGTGGAAGGGAAACTCTTATCTTTGCCTCTGTTCCCATTCAAACTTGATTCTTAAACTCTCTCTCAATTCTCTCGAACTGCTTGAATCTATATGAGCCCTAGTTTTTGCTTTGTTAAACCTCTGCCTACCTGCTGCTTCAGTTCTCTTAACTTAAATGCTATTCAGTGGTTTGAGAACCCCTAATATGCACACTAAATTCTATGTTACTCTGTTTATCTGCTGTGGAGCCAGGTGGGGTAGTTCCTGCAGTAAATCGCATGCAACCACCATGGAGAATGAAGTTACAGGCTCCCTGTTACTACAGCAGCACTAGCCTCTTAGGAATTGCAGAGCAGGGTGCAGTGCTGCTGTGCTGGCTGTTACAGCTGTATTGAACCTGCTGGTGCTCTAAGGCTGGCTGTACTGTAATAGTAGCTGGAGCCATTTGTCAGGGGTGGGACTCTGGAGTTAAATGCTGTATAAACACCAAGGAAGACTCCAAGCTGTTCACACCAACTTGGTTACAAAGCTATGGTGTCTCCTAATTGACAACTTTCCACACCTGCCTAATAGTTTAAATTCTCAGTCTGAAAGCATGTTCCCTGCTGTAGCTGTTGCACATTATATTGAACATACTCCAGGATACAAAGATCGTGGCTGCACTTACACAACAGATAGCATTTGTATTGGGCATAAAACACATGGGGGAGGGGGGCGAGGCGTGACAAACCTCTGGCCTTTTTCATACTTTTGTTCCTCTAAACAGGTAACTATTGTGTATGTTGTGAACTGATTCCGGGGCTTAGTGCCACATTCCCTGTTGATGGGCACCAGACACAAGAGCCATGGGCTTTTTTTTGTGTGGGTGTGGGTGTGCATGCCAGAGGCTACTATAGGCACAAAAGCAGCCTGTGTCGATGGCTGTTATTTTGAGTGTGACCATTCCACAGGACTCGATGCAAATTAACTGAATAGTTAAGAACTGCTTAGTTCTCAATAAGTGGAGCAACAGTTATGAAAATGGAGGTGCTGGGATGTAAAGTGAAAGTGATCTGCTCTCAGGCGCTTGGGGGAAGGGTGCAGCAATCCCTGACTTGCCCGTCAGGGAAGATGTTTGCATGGTGTGAGTGGACTGGGCTCACCCTAACACTGTTCCCAACTCTTGTGAGATTTGGTGTTGCTTGCAAAGACACAGCTCCTGGAGTGAGGTGAGGCTGGGCTTAAATGAAAGTGGCGCTCAGGCTGAGCACAGGCCTCAGCAGGCAAAAGACACCTTAGGCTCATTCCATGTCAAAGCCAAACAGCTGATTTTGGAACTTGCGGGTGGGTGGTTGGTGCCAGGGCCAGCCTTGGGGGAGCCTGGGGCAACTGCCCCCCAGTATCCCAGAGGCAGGTGGGGCAAACCACCCCCCTCCACGCCCTACTTCTGCTCTACCCCTTCCCCCGCCGAGTGGGGGGGGGATTGCTGGAGGCCAGGTCGCACCACTCACGAGGGCAGAGAGTGGTGCTGCCCCACTGCGCCTGGGCTCCCTGCAGGGCGGGAAGCAGCGCCCGGGAGCCTGGGGCAACTGCCCCCCAGTATCCCAGAGGCAGGTGGGGCAAACCACCCCCCTCCACGCCCTACTTCTGCTCTACCCCTTCCCCCGCCGAGTGGGGGGGGGATTGCTGGAGGCCAGGTCGCACCACTCACGAGGGCAGAGAGTGGTGCTGCCCCACTGCGCCTGGGCTCCCTGCAGGGCGGGAAGCAGCGCCCGCTGCCCGAGTGCATGCAGGAGGGGGGCGAGCCCTGCTCCCGCCCTGGGGCCAGGCTGGCGCTGGAGGCTGCTTTGGCCGGGCCCAGGGCTCGCACGTGGCCCGGCCCCTGGCAGGCTGGCGCGGAGCCCCCTGGAGCGCTGCAGGGGCGGCCG